TAAGAGCATGAATGTAATTTTCCCCTTTAGTTACTATCACAGTCAGTGCAACCAGTGGCAAAGCTAGCCCAATGGGTCAGGGCGTTCCAACAATAATGAAATTATCTATATGCATCCATTTGTTTTTATTTATGCCCCTAAGTGCAACCCATGCCATTTATCTCATGGTAAAACAATGAATGACTACCAACCTTTGTGTCCATCAATAGCGAATTTTTGGTCATTGCCCCTTTATATACAACACCGCAACTTCATTCGAGCAGATTACAAACATTCCTATCTCCATTTGATCTCAAGACGTTGGTAGACTTTTCTTCTTAATATTGCCAACAATAGCTTAGTACATCAAATAGGAGATAGTCACATATACGCATCGAGAGGTTGAGAGAAGAAACAATGCAAAGGTTAGAATTCCTCCCAAAAAAATGCAAAGGATGGAACCTATGGGAACGGAAGACATCAGGAATAGCCGTGGTGGAACATTTCCACCTCAAAGAGCCCTAAGAGAAGCATAAGATTTTAGATCTTCATGAGAGGGAAATGCTACATGACCCCTGTTCTCTCCGTTTTATCTACTGTACTAGCCAAGTGGTGAATGATGCAGTATAGTTTATGGATAGATCACTGTCCTCAATTTTGATCCCGAGTGTGGTAATCAGAAAAACAAATAAAGGGTGTATCCTTTTTCCATTTCCCGTGTTTCTTTCCTTTCTGATATATATATAGAAGAAAAAAAGTTTATTTTAAGAACATAGCAAGTGAAACAGCCGATGATTCGAACTCAGTGACTGGCTATATTAGTTGCGTTTGTTGTTGTTTTTTCGCGTGGCATGCTTTTACTGTGTCTAGTTCCTTCTGCGCCGAATCCAAGCCATGCCGCTGACACAGAAATGTACCAACACACCCGTTCGTCGTCGAAACAAACATTACTATGCTACTAATGACTTGCTATATTAGTTGCGTTTGGTGTTTTTTTCGTGTGGCAGGCTTTGCTATGTCTAGTTCCTTCTACGTGGGGCCCAAGCCATGCCGCTGACACAGAAATGTACCGGCACACCTGTTCGTCGTCGAAACAGACATTACTATGCTACTAAAAGAAAGAAAAAGAAAAAAAGATGACTACAGCCATGAGAACAGGGCCGTGGATTTTCTCACAAGCAGCATCACCGAAGTGTGCGTGCGTGTCTATTGGACGGATAAGACTAGCCACAATGGAAGAAATATAGGTGGTAACATCACACATATCTAGATAAAATAGATGACGTGGCAAGCAATTAATGAAAAAAGATAGGTATGTGGTAACATAGCTAGTTACTAGTAGTGTGAGTAACATCACATATAGCAAGGTAAGATGAGTCTATAACCTAATAAATGAAGTGTTGCATTATCCCACACATATATTACTCCCCACATATGCATGTTACTAGTCTAAGTTGTGGATTTTCTCACAAGCGGCATCACCGATGTGTGCGTGCGCATCTACTGGACGGATAAGACTAGCCACAATGGGAGAAACATAGATGGTAACATCACACATATCTAGATAAAATAGATGATGTGACAAGCAATTAATGAAAAAAGATATGCATGCGGTAACATAGCTAGTTACTAGTAGTGTGAGTAACATCACATATACCAAGGTAAGATGAGTCTATAACCTAATAAATGAAGTGTTGCATTATCCGGCTGGCCATAGTGGAGTAACATAAGTAGTGTCATGTACTTGGGACTCGCAAATATGCTTATGTGGCAGACAATTAAAAAAAAGAGAGATGGTTATAGTAACATAGATAGATATCTTAACATAATAAATATGATGCTACTATGTGTCATGCATGACAATAAATAAGGTCACCTATGATACTAATCTATGATACTATGCACTATAGAGGTAGTAACATATAGTAATAACATATGTATGTTACTAGTGTAAGTTACTCCCCACTATGACCAGACTCCCCACATGTGCATGTTACTAGTCTAAGTTGTGGATTTTCTCACAAGCAGCATCACCGCTGTGTGCTTGCGTGTCTACTGGATGGATAAGACTAGTCACAATGGAAGAAACATAGATGGTAACATCACACATTTCTAGATAAAATAGATGATGTGACAATCAATTAATGAAAAAACATAGGCATATGGTAACATACCTAGTTACTAGTAGTGTGAGTAACATCACATATACCAAGGTAAGATGAGTCTATAACCTAATAAATAAAGTGTTGCATGATCCCACACATATGTTACTCCTCACATATGTATGTTACTAGTGTAAGTTGTGAATTTTCTCACAAGCAACATCACCGCTGTGTGCATGCGCATCTGCTGGAGCTGCAATAGGAGAAATATAGATGGTAACATCACACATATTTAAATAAAATAGATGATATGGTAAGCAATTGTTGAAAAAAGATAGGCATGTGATAACATAGCTGTGAGTAACATCACATGTACCAAGATAAGATGAGTCTACAACCTAATAAATGCCCCACATATGTATGTTACTAATCTAAATTGTATACTATTTATCGTGCCTAGTCTAACAGTTGGAGAATTTTCAAAAAAGATGCGTTGAACGGCTATTGGAGATGCGGGGTATCGATGCCCGTACCTCACCTCTCGCCTAAGCGAGCGTTCTACCATCTGAGCTACAACCCCGGCGATGTGCAGCTTGAAAACTTGCTTTCTTATTACTCTGTAACTCGTGGTAGAACGTACATCGGCCCTATCCATTTTTTCGATTCACGGACGAACTACTCCGCGATCACACGAGAGTACACCACAGAACCGGGCAGTACAAATGACACGATCAAACGAGAGTACCTTAGGGTGTGTTTGGTTGGGGAACGAAGTAGAACGTAATGTCATGATTCCATTCCACTAGAATGGGTTGCTTCCATTCCTATGTTTGGTTTGGGCAAGTAGGTGAAATGGAATGGTTCCATTTTAGTGTTTGGTTGGGGATATGGAATGGAATGCATTTTGGTTTATCTCACCTCTTGCATAAAACTAATGATGTTTCTTCTCACATATATATGCACAATTGTCATTAGTCTTCATGTTTTTAACACATAATAAAGAATTTCCAAGGAAAATACTACTTATTCACTCATATACATGTTAAAAAAGTCTACCAAAATACAAGCATCCACCTATATTCATGTCAAAACACAAGGCATCCACCCATGTGAGGTCAAAAGATCTGTCAAAATACAAATCATTTACTCAAAATTGAGCTTGCCGTGATTAGGAAAAGGAAGCTAGCAAGGGGCAAAACACAATTCTCTTCCCCGTCAGAGGTTGATGTGATTACGACAAGCTAGCAAGTAAAAATGGTCGTTACTGCCGCTGCTTGCTGTGACTGCTTGCCGCTGCTTGCCCAGCTGCAGCACGTAGCCCATGGACGGGCACTGCAAAGCATGTGCGAGGAGGCAGGGAGAGCCGAGCCGAGCAGAGATGATGGACGATGGTGCCGGGAAGCCGCGCGGAGCAGGAGGTAGTGGGAGTCGCGGGCGCGGCTCTGCCTCCCAGATCGGACGACGCCGCTGCTCTGCTTGTCAGATAGGACGTCGCCGCCGCTGATTCGCCTGTCAGATAGGACGCCGCCGCCGCTGCTCCGCCTGTCAGATAGGACGCCGCCGCCGTTGCTCCGCCTGTCAGATAGGACGCCGCCGCCGCTGCTCCGCCTGTCAGATCGGACGCCCGCCGCTGCTCCTCCTGTTCCCGATCGGACCCGAGGATCCAGCCGCAGAGCGACAGGAGTGTGCCGGTGGTGAGACATGAGGGGAGGGTCGAGACGGGGGATTGGAGGGAGAGAAGGCAGAGTCAGGGGAGGAGGGAAGACACGAGGCGTTCCGCGTGGTTCCTCCGATTTGGAGGTACCAGCGGGTTCGGCATCTGGGGCGAATATGCCGTTCCACGGAATGACTTGGTTCTTGGACCGAACCAAACGCGAGAACCACCCCTGGATTTGGGACGGACCCGTTACATTCCACTCGATGATCTGAACCAAACACACCCTTAAAGGCTACAAGCAGACATCTCAGCCTAACGTGGCCCAACCGCGCCTTTGGAATTCGTGAAAAAAAACTGCGCCTTTGGAAAGCCTATCCAACTTTCAGGCCCAAATCAGAATTCGATCCAGCGCCCCACACGCCCCCTCGGCTGTACCTACAGAAGAAACGCAAAACGTCCCTTCACGTCACTAGATTGGGCGGACACTTGGTTGGACAGCGCAGGAGACATGTCCTCCTAAATTTCCCAAGCCAGCCATTCCGAATTGCAATCCAAACTCAAAAAAAAAAGTTATACTTCAAATGTAAAAAAACGGAAAAGCAGTGAAACTGCTGCTTCAGGAAGAGAAAGAAACCTCATACGTCTGACTAAAATTCTCCTACTCCCTCCGATTCATATTAATTCTGGCTCCCTTAGTACAACTTTACTATAGAATTATTCCGCAAAAGAAAAAAGAGCTTTAGTACAGAATTTCGCATTTGACGACCTCTGGCCGCTACCACCATGTAGTTAAAGCAAGTACTCCTTTGTTGCAAAGTACTCGTTACAGAAATGAATGTATGTAGAATTAAATTAAATACATCTAGATATATCCATATTTGCGACAAGTAATTCGGAACGGAGGGAGTAGCTAGTTTCAGCTAAACCTAGGTGAGGTGCCCACAAAATCATGAAATGCGACGCATAGTTTGTATCTTGCGTCCATACCACACATTGTTGATTTGTTCCAGCACCCCTTCGCCAATCACCAGCCCTCCTTCCGCGGCCAATGCGACCCATGCTAAGCCTCGGGTGGCCAACAACCGATGCTTGCAAAATGCCAAGCCGTGGGAGGCCGTCAGCTCCCCTTGCAGAAATTTAGAGCTGCGGCCAGCTCGTGGGCTAGCTATAAGATGGACATGCAGGGCTCCGTTCATTGCACCACACGCAAAGCAACGAAACAACTAGTCCAAGAGAGCAACTGAGTACGTAGCAACGCGCCCATGGCCTCCACGCCGACGAGCTTCGTGGCCGTGGCGCTCCTCATGGCCGTCATGCTCAGCACGTGCGGTGCTGCGCGCCTCCTCGCCGACATCCCGGCCTTGCCCGAACCGACGCTGCCGGCCTTGCCCCTGGTCGTTCCCACGGTCCCTGCCGTGCCAGGCGGCGTCGTGCCCACCGTGCCGGAAGTGCCGACGGTGCCGCTGCCAACAGTACCCAGCGGCGTCGTGCCAACCATCCCGACGGTTCCCACCGTGCCGGAGGTGCCGACGGTGCCCACCGTGCCAGGTGTGCCGGCGGTGCCGCTGCCAACAGTACCCGGCGGCGTGGTGCCGACCGTCCCGACGGTTCCCACCGTGCCGGAGGTGCCGACGGTGCCCACTGTGCCAGGTGTGCCGGCGGTGCCGCTGCCAACAGTACCCGCCGTGCCGACCATCCCGACAGTTCCCGCCGTGCCAGGCGTGCCGACGGTGCCGCTGCCGGCAGCACCCGGCGCCGTCGTGCCCACAGTGCCAACCGTGCCAGGCGTGCCAACGTTGCCTCTGCCGTCGATGCCGTCCATCCCCGGTGACCTGCCCATGGTACCAGTGCCATTACCACCGGTTCCGTCCATCCCCGGCGACCTGCCCAAGCTGCCGGTGCCTCTGCCGCCTCTGCCGTCCCTTCCCGACCTGCCCAAGGTGCCACTGCCGCCGATGCCGTCCATCCCTGGCGTGCCTAAGATACCACTGCCGTCTGTTCCGGGTGTGCCGGCCGTGCCGTAGTTCCTCCTCAGCCGACGCACTAGAGGAGTATATATACGTAAGTCATGACCGTGCATGCACGGGTGTGGGTGGTCGTTGTTGCCCTACCCGATTTACGAGTGTAATATAACTTTGACTTGACAGCATTTGTTTGAGCACTACATGTACAAGTCAAAGTACGTGCAAGAGAGAGGGAAAAAAGCGAAGTACTCTCTTGTGTGCGTGTGGTCTATTTGCAAGTGAGTGTGGTGTGGATGTATAATGTTTACCTGTCTATACTTGTCCTTTTATGTCATTAGGTGGGAGTCATTCTTTGTATAGGCTAGGGGTATTGCTCCATTTTGTACGTGTGTGCACTGTATGTTGTTTTCTTTTCACTTGTATCAATATACGCACTATTGATGCAGGTATCATAAGTTTCAAAAGCTTGCCTTTGCCTTTACGTATGTATGTCAAATTATTCTGCCGTGGTCGCCTTATCTTGTAATTGTTCTGTCATGGTTGCCTTTGTTCTGTACTCTGTGTAATAATCAATAAGAATGTTTGTGTGCAATGCAATGATGCAGAGGCTAGGGGGCTTAAACTCATTTAAAAAAAATGTATGCATGTCAAATTCAAGAGCTTACATGGATCCAGAGGGTTTTGGATTATGTGACTCTTATCTGCGTTTGGAATTTTTTTTGTATAAATATAATTGATTCATATGTTTTATATGAGTTGTGTTAAGAATAATAACCGATGCATTCATATAGTTGATATCTTAGGTTGTTACTCCATCCGTCTCAAAAAAGAGTGTTTATTATTTCAAACACTCACATACTAAGGAGGAGTTAAGAGAGATTATTTAGGGTCCATGCAATCCCATCACATGTAGCTATAGATGCGTAAAGGGTCTCAATCTATGAATTTATGGGTGTACTGCCTATGTAATCACATCACATCATACATGTTCTAGCATAAGTACGAAATATTTCACTTCTCATATCTATGCTATATATCTTTGTCACACTTCTATCTTTGCAGAGTTGTTATTAGTGCAACTATAAACACTGGTCCAATTTCACAAATAAGAAACACCTTTGAACATCTTCTTTTTTGTGATGCCTTTGAACATTTTACACGAGCTTTCAGTTTCCATCATTATTTATTCTGAAAATACACAAATACTTCAAACCTTATTATATGTTAATTACTTGTTGCAACTAGCAAAGCTAGTGAGTAGCAACAATCTTATTGTCTAGACCCGACCATTTACGAAATTTGTCTATTGTCTAGACCCAACCATAAAAATTGTTTGACCTGCCTTCCATGCAGCTTGGCAAGCCCAAATTTTAGGCCTACTACAACCGTAAATTCTCTAATAGGAGAAACAAAATATGCAGCATTAAGATACAACCCACAAGGCCCAGAACATATTGATCTGGGCATCTAGCTCGCTTCTCTCCCATACGTAGCACGGCAGCGCCCACGGCTCTTCTATGTCTCTTTGCATAATCATAGGGATGCAAGCGGAAAATAAGCTAACCACTGCTACTTTAATAACCGTGCTAATGTAAAGTCGATCGACGTGGACGGCCGCAGACTTCGTGGACGTTGTCCCGCGTGCATCCCTAGGCCTAATCTGCCTCCTCGATCCTCAATTTTCACACCATGAAAGACTATCTAGTAATCTCAATTCCTCTATCGCCTCTCCGTGGATCTACATAAGGATGACCAATGACAATCCTATTTTGATTTGTTGTTGGCCGATCAGCCACAACCGCACAATCTTTAGTCTAATAATCCGCTGACAATGAGTGTCCGAGTCTAGGTTTGCATTCTTCAGGTTGACCTCTGGCCTTCTTGCTGCACAGGTATGCTAGTGTAAGTTTCATACTAAAATTTCTCACCTTCTTTATATTGAATTTCTCTTCCTTGATTCATTTAGGAGTGATTGACTTATTTTTTATGTGGAGAAAGATATATTTTCACCATTGCGTAATGATGTCATGATTCATCTCTTTAAGACCGTAAAAGACCAAGGAGGGAAGTATAAAATGTGAGTCTCACATTACATTACATTCTAATTTAATGATATTTTTATATATGCTTCCTGTTTTGTACCATTCTTGTGAATATAGTATGTTATTTGCTTCATCCGTAGTTGCAATTGAAGCCTTAAATTCATATATTTTTCTTGGTTCATTTTTGATATATGACTTTGCTCTGTGATTACTCTAACTTGGTATGAAAATCTTTTGAATATAAAATAATATCATTGGCTTCTTGCATATTTTCATTCTTTGTACTACACGCTGCAGTTATTTATATTGCCTTGCCATGGTCATAGTCGGCTGTGAGGCAGGGCTCTTCCATTTCCCTATCTCGGAATACCCATCCATCACCGCAAACTCACCAACAAGGAGCAAAAAATTATTGAAGTGTGATTCGAAAATAAGTTCAATAGTTGGAAGGGTAAACTCGAGTCTCATAAAGGAACTTTAACTCTCATCAATCATGTTTTTTAGTGAGGGAAAACTTATTGCCTACTACCAACCCGTGCGCTTGGGGCGCCCAACACAACAATCACTAGGCCCAGGTGACAGTTTACCATAGTCAATATTTGTTGGTTCTATGCGTTTATAGTTCACAACACATTTTGAACTTGAGATTTCAAACATGTGGGGCTGATGAATTACTAGCATAACCAAAGGGGTGTTCAAAAGGCTAGATTTTATCGTTCTAGATTTTTCTGGCAATGCGATGAGCGGAAAAGGAAGTACAAGCTTGTGAAATGGGATATTTTGTGCGGGCCTAAGGATCAAGGGATTTTGTGTATTGAAAACCCGAGGAAGAAAAATAGGAGCTCACTCAACAAATGGTTGTATAAATTACTTAATGAGAGGAAGGTGTTTGGCAGGAGCTCTTACACAACAGAACCTGCATTCCAAAACGATTTCTCAAGTAGTTGCTAGGACAACTAAGTCACCGTTTTGGAAGAAATTGATGAAGGTTAAGTATTCATTTCTAATAAAGGTTACTTTATGGTTGGTGATGGCTAATCAACTAGCTTTTGGGAGGACACATGGTTGAGGGATATTCCATTAAATCTCCAATACCAAACCATATATAACATTGTGCACCGAAAAGAGGCCTCAGTGGCCTCGATGCTTGAGGCAAACCCCTTGAATACTCAATTTCGTAGGGCTTTAATTAGTGATAGATGGATATCATGACTCCATTAGATTAATGTCGATCATTTCATCACAAACGTAAGGATGCCAATTTACCCATGGGTACCTGACCCGCATGGGTTGGGTATGGGCATATTTTTGTGCCCATGGGTAGTACCCCAACCCTACACGACTAGTCATGGATAGGGCATGGGTACAATTATGTGCCCATGGGTAATGCCCAAACCCCACCACATGACCATATATGCATGTGAGTCACATGTGTCATAAACCTAAGGCACCGAGTCTCTCTATATAAGTTGTGAAGAACTACGCATCCATACCTTAGTCATCATCTGCTCGCAAACCAAACCTCTTTGTGGAGCCAATGGATCTAGCAACTTTGCCTGGTAGGCCCGATAGGTACGGATACCCATAGCGTATGTGCACTGGCATTGATTCATACCCGATGGGCAAGGTATGCGAACGATTTTATGCCCATGTGAAACATGGGTATGGGTATGTGATTATTGTACCCGCACCATACCCTAAACATTTCCATCCTTACACAAACACCGAACATATTTTGATGGAGGTTGAATACTAATGGTGTCTTCACCATTAGGTTTCTATATGTGGACCTCATTAATTTTGGGACTATTTACCATAAACAAAATATCTAGAAAACCATGGTTCCCAACAAGAGTAAAGTGTTCATGTGGTTTTTGCAGAGGAAGGTCATTCTTATAGAGATATCTAGCCAAAGAAAACTGCCAGGGTAGCAAACAAAATGTTGCTTTTCTGATCAAGACAACAATATTCATCATCTTTTTCTATCTTGCCCATTTACGATCCAAGTTTGGCACCCGATTCATGTTGCATATAATTTGTTACCACTAACAAGTATATTGATTTTGTGCGGAAGTTGGTTGGGTGATATCTAGCCAAAGCTCAAGCGACACCTCTGAGTGGGAGTTTGTGCCCTTCTATGGGCGATTTGAAATTGTTGCAATGATTCCATTTTTAACAGACCATCTATATCGATTTTTTTGCAGATTATCTTTGAGGCTACGGTGTTGATCCTTGTGTGAGCATTACTTCAGCGTGTGGACACTCAAGAGCATATGGCCTTTGGTTGCATCTATTTAGAAATGCTCGCATGGTAATTATTCAACAAGTTTGGTTGTTGTGCCAGTAATAGGTTGTGTGTCTAAGTCATGTAGTGTCATTATGAACTGATAGTGGTCTTAATTTGTTTTCCTTTTTATAGAATTGGTGTGTACTTTGAGTAATGATTTAATAAAATGGTTATGTGCATCACAATAATGTAGAGGCAAGAGCTATCGACGCGGATTTTTGTTACATGGTGCCACGCGATGCCGAAATCTCGACCGCCCGCTTGTGCTTTGAGATTACTAATTAATATAGGACATTTTCCAATAAGATCACAGCTACTCAATAATACATTGGAATACGCAGCAGTGAGTGGGCCATGGCACTTTAAATTCGTATGCAATTTGTCTGGTAGTTGGGTTTTGGCACTTTGTCAGATATGTTGAATTAATCCCTGCTGGGTACTTGATGGCCTGCGTAGCATTTACATGTCTATGCAGCCAGTACGAGTTAATGGGGGTGGCTTGTGCAGGGCATGTATTTTAGATATGCTTCATGCAGGTGGGTGTATGAAGGACATTGTTGAATCTTATCATCAGATTGGCTGGGTATAGAGCAAATTTATTTACACGGGATTACTTGATGTGTGAGCTATGATTCAGCCACATCGTAAAAAAACTCCCATGGGAGGAGCTAGAGAATCGATGTAGGACATTGATGAAGACATGAATAACACTGTGACATGAACATAAAATG